AAACATTAAGATCTGTTCTGTTTAAATTGATTATAGTCTATTATCAATTCAGGTTAAGAAACTTTCATCCTATTTTAAAAAAGGCATTTCTTTTGATACTCTACTAAAAATGCAACAAAAAAAGGGTTTGATTCTATTAATTTTGTCTTTTTTATTGCACTTTGGCAGCAGATTCCTGTGTAGCTTCAGATCTGAGTTGTCTTATTAGTAAGCCTAATTTATACTTTTGTAGCAACACTATTTTTATATAATGGCAAAGAAAGAGTATTTTCTTTTTTCATATGTGGCAGCACTGTTCAATGTTTCTTGAAAACATTACCCACTGTAGTATGTGACGTGCGAATAAACTCCAACTCTGTATCAACAACACTGTTGTGTAACTTCAGTTAAATACTTGTATGTGTGTAGATTAGAAAGAGGTAAGATATAGGATCTGCAGTATTTTATGAAGTATTAATCGTACAAATGTCAGTTTTATACAAGTAGAAGTGTGTATTTACCTGGCAGTAGGCTGTCAGTAATGGCTACGCCTCTCTATTTGGACTGGTAGATCTCGGCAGACTGGCAACTTTAAAAGTAGCTCTTGGTTAAAAAAAGGTTGGGCTCAGTGGTTCTCAACTGGTGGGACTCGCGACCCAAAAGTGGGTCGCGGATGTGTGAGTGAAAAAAAAAAAACTTTTATTTTGAAGGCCCGATTTTCTAACGCTGTGCATGCAGTCGGCGTTGGACTGGAAGTACCAGAGACCATAAAGGGTTTTGAAAACTTCTGTCACATAGTGATCATCTTCTCAATAAAATATCTTTGCTGATGTTTTTTCGAGTCTTCTGGCCAATCAGAATCAAGATTGTTGCCGGAAGTCCCCACGGAGAATAACTTTGCGGTAAAACTCTTCTTTATACATCCATGGGCACAACTTCAGATAAAAATGAACACATAATGAAATATGACCCCCGGTTTGATGATTGACAGATCACAGAACAATGGGAGCTATCTACCCTTACCCACAATTTAAAGTAAGTCACACAGACTATCTCCTCTTTACTCTTCTCGCAGCAAGATGTCAGAACAAAGTGAAAAACAAACAATGGCATAAAATATTATTAATATGTCGGGTAGTAATAGATTTATTTATTGGGGTTGGGTTTTCAGCATGTGTGCCTTTTTATATAGTTCAGCTTTGATTCCATCATCTCATTAAACCTTTTTTTAAAGCATACTTTTGTTCTGTGAAGGGATATAAGGGATATATGCACTGTACTTCACTTTTATTAATATTGTATGCTGAAAAGCGTATATATTACAGCACAATTTTTTGTTGAATAGATTTGAGTGCTTCAAAATGTTGGGTCGCGATGTATTGACCAAGTAAAAAGTGGGTCCCGAGGCCTGACCAGTTGAGAACCACTGCTTTAGCTCACCTGAGCCTCTCATACCTCATTCACAGCAACGCAACTCCGGTTCAAGCTCCGTGCTAGAGCTTTTCAGGTTCAGAACCAGTTCTTCGGTTTAGCTCTGGCTCTTTTCACACCGCCCAGAGTCCGACTGGTAATGCGTCGTTGCGTCATCGTTTGCGTCATGACGTAACCGTTTGCGTGCCTGCTTCATAAAGCCAAAAAGCCAAAGGCTTCCGAGGTCGGTCTTATTTCTTAAGGTGGACTGAACCATGAGTGTGGAGTAACGTTATATCTTTCATTTAAATGAACTGTAACCTTCACCCAGGTATGCAACAGCTGTTCTCAAATGAACACGTGAAGTAAAGTTTAATATTTATAGTTTTATAGATTTATAATGAGAGGTGATCAACGTGAATGCTCAGGTTCCACCTTAACACGCAGACACGTTGCTTCACTATGAGCAGAAACCTTTATATATACAGTCTATGGCAGAAACACTGAAACTCTTGTTAAGTTTCTCCATCGTTGTGTACAAACTGGATAAAACGCGGGCTTTTTGTTGTTGTTCAGGAGTTGATCTGCCTCTGCCCCTGCCCCTGCCCCTGCCCCTGCCCCTGCCCCTGCCCCTGCCCCTGCCCCTGCCCCTGCCCCTGCCCCTGCCCCTGCCCCTGCCCCTGCCCCTGCCCCTGCCCCTGCCCCTGCCCCTGCCCCCACCTCGACGTAAGCGTGACGTATGTGGTGCTTTTGCTCTGGCCGGAAACGAACAGGATTCCGGAGCTAAGAGGCTGCTCCGCTGCGGTGTGAAGAGGAAAACCCGGAAGAAGAAGATGTTTCCACAATTATGTGGAGGGAGAGTCCTCTCCAGTCAGACTGAGAGGCTGATACTACAGCTCAGTGAGGTAAAGGACTCTGAGTGTTTAGATAGTTCACTTTAGTCTAAGTTCAAAACGGTTTGGTCACAATTTATGTAAACACATATTTTCAAGGCACTCCTTTATAATTATTGGGATAAACAGGTTTGAAATCATTCCAATGTATACTATAGGACAGTAACCAAACATATCCTTTTAAAACTGGACTTTCGACCCAAACCCAACGTTGACTTGTGGATGCAAGCAGCTAATCGCAGACTCAACCAGAGAAAAAGTAGTAGGCCTACATCATCAGCTACCATGTCTGACAGAGAGGAAGACAGTGAGGAGGACAGTGAGGAGAACAGTCAGGAGGGTAGTGATGACAGCTTGTAGGATTACTGGTCGTGCTCATGTTGTCTTGTGTTTGCCTCTGCATGTGTGTTCTGTGTTCACCTCTGCATGTGTGTTCTGTGTTCACCTCTGCATGTGTGTTCTGTGTTCACCTCTGTGTGTTCTGTGCCGTGTGTCTGACAAATAAAGACCGGTTTATTTATTTCAATTTAAGGATGAGCACCAAGCAACATCTCCAGGTGGTCCTTTGAGAACCAGGGCAAAAAAGTTATGTGCACCCCTGTTTATAATCGATTTGAATTAATTAAAAGTGCATCTGTTCAAATCATGAACATATTTCAGTACAACATATAATTGTTTTGTCTTTTATATTAGTTAACCAAAACATTTGAATCAAACCCAAGAAACAATGATATACCAGAAATGAATACAAATCAACCATAAGCATGTACTTAGGTGTAAGATGATTATCTGCAAAGATAGAATTTATGGAGAAATGTGACAGTAAGACGAGGACATCAAACAGAAAAAGTGTGGCTCTGATAGTATAGTTACTGTCGGTGCAGATGAAATAGTTCCCAGTGATCGGGTCCAAAATTAGGCAATGTGCAAATCCTCTATGATGGAAGAATAGAGCTACATAATACAGTTGCAAGAAAAAGTATGTGAACCCTTTAGAATTACCTGGATTTCTGCATAAGTTGGTCATAAAATGGGTTCTGATCTTCATCTAAGTCACAACAATAGACAAACACAGTCTGCTTAAACTAATACCACACAAACAATTATATGTTGTCATGTTTTTATTGAGCACACCATGTAAACATTCACAGTGCAGGGTGGAAAAAGTATGTGAACCCCTAGGCTAAAGACTTCTTCAAAAGCTAATTGGAGTCAGGAGTCAGCCAACCTGGAGTCCAATCAATGAGACGAGATTGGAGGTGTTGGTTAAAGCTAACCTGCTCTATAAAAAATACACACCAGTTTTGAATTTGCTATTCTTAAGAAGCATTGCCAGATGTGAACCATGCCTCGCACAAAAGAGCTCTCAGAAGACCTACAATTAAGAATTGTTGACTTGCATAAAGCTGGAAAGGGTTACAAAAGTATCTCTGAAAGCCTTGATGTTCATCAGTCAGTAAGACAAATTGTCTATAAATGGAGAAAGTTCAGCACTGTTGCTACTCTCCCTAGGAGTGGCCGTCCTGTAAAGATGACTGCAAGAGCACAGCGCAGAATGCTCAATGAGGTGAAGAAGAATCCTAGAGTGTCAGCTAGAGACTTAAAGAAATCTCTGGCACATGCCAACATCTCTGTTGACGAATCTACGATACGTAAAACACTGAACAAGAATGGAGTTCATGGGAGGACACCACGGAGGAAGCCACTGCTGTCCAGAAAAAAACATTGCTGCACGTTTGAAGTTTGCAAAAGAGCACCTGGATGTTCCACAGCACTACTGGCAAAAATATTCTGTGGACAGATGAAACCAAAGTTGAGTTGTTTGGAAGGAACACACAACGCTATGTGTGGAGAATCCAAAGGGTTCACATACTTTTTCTTGCAACTGTATATTAGGGCTGTCAAACGATTACCATTTTTAATCAGATTAATCACAGCTTAAAAATTAAGGTAACACTTTATATTAAGGTACACAAATTAACCATCAACTAGTTGTTAATTAACATGCATACTAGCAGTATATTGGCTCTTTATTAGTAATTATAAAACACTTATTAATGCCTTATTCTACATGACCATATTCTACAGGTAATAAGCCATTAGTTGAGAGTTTTTCCTCAATTACCCTCTAATTAGTGCTTATTCATTGCAAGTAAGGAAGTTGTTGTACATGAGTTTGGGTCTTAATATGCTCTGCTCAATATGGGCCTAATAAGGCAGTAGTAGCACAAGAATAGTAATTCTCCCTTAATAACACTTAACAAATATGATCTATTCTCATGTAACAAGACATGAAACTACAAGTGTTAATTGTGTCTAAATAACTCAAAATTAGGTATTTATATCTAAGAACATGTTCCCTATTCTAAAGTGAAGTCTTGTTCATAACCAATAAGCTAGTAGTTTGACTCTAATTGACCAGAACAGGTTCCCTATTCTAAAGTTGCCTCCTCTTCACACTTTGTAAATACATTATAGCACACAACTACTGAAATTAACCTCAACAGCACATGAACAAAGTAGGCTCACGTTGAAATATCTGTTTTATTCAAATGTAACCACTGAAGAGAGGTTCAGACACATCACAAACATTTAATTAAAGTGTCTCCAAGGCTCACAACACACCTGTACTTTTTAATACAAATAGATAGGTAAATATAAAAGCTGAACTTGCTCTTGAGGGTACTACTAAACTCACTTTTAAATATACAACTCTTCCAGTACACCTTATCTAAACCGATAAAACCAGCCCTTTAATACTTCATCAGCAAGGGAAGAAGCTTGCCTTTGGCTTTCATGTCCTCTATTTTGGCCTTTTTATCGACTGTAACATTTGTTGCACACTTCTTGGCAAATGAAAGCAGGGTGTCTATTGCAGGATCAAACTTGAGGGTCTCGAATGTGTCTGGGTCCACAATCTTGAGCTCTGCAATTGGAGCAGTCATCTTTATGGTTCCCCGATCCACATTATTTCTCCTGAAGGCTTCAGACATTGTGCGAACATGTCCGAAGGTTTTCAGGACCTTTTTATACCTATGGACAACCTCCGCTGGCCCTTTGACTGGAAAAAAACAAACAAACAAATACACAAGGGATGAGTACACAGACTAATAATTCTGTCCAGCAGATGGCGCTAATAATGGCCGAAACAACTGACATTTCTCTTTAAAAATAACTATAAAGCATACTCTAGGGATGGCAACATCTGCTTATCTGATCTTTATCATTATTACTTTTCATGATATTTAGTTGTTCACCTCTCATATGAGCTCGCCCAGGCACAGCCACATCTGGAGATGCAGGATTCCGTGTGTTACGTTGCTTCTTTTTTGGGATGACAACATCACTGTCTGAGGAATCACTGAGGTCTGCAGGACTTTGGGAAGTGTCATCTTCGGACATGCTGACATCCTCTTCCAAAGTAGGGACTTTTGATTGAGCTTAAATTCAACGGATGACAGATGACACACTGATCAGCTTGTTATGAGGAGATACATAACATCACACCTTCTATAACAATTTAATACAAATGTGCAGTTTTTTCTCGAATCACTCACTTGATTTCTTCTTCAACCCCAAGACTTATTCGCGTAAGAAATTGCGCTCTCCTTCAAGATCTTTTATCATTTTATCTTGCCATTCGATCTTGGCCTCTAGGAATTCCAATCTTGAGATTGATCCTTAAAAAACAAAAGGACAGTTTGAGAGAAGATTACAATAAAGATTATGATACAGTATTGAGTAACAGGAAACGTATTGGAGAGACAGAGAGAGGGATGGCGAGAAACAAAGGTCATGGGCCAGATCGAACACAGATGATTGCGATTATGGTTTGTGCCTTAACTTGATGAACCTCAAGGATTTTAAAACCATAAAGTAGCAGCCGATAAAGTAAAAAATGTATACAATTATCCACTTCCCCTCACCCACAAGAGACAACAGATAATATGTGGTTTCCCTAGTCAACATCAGCCATGTCAGTTACAGTGTACTGCTTATCATCACCACTGTGCGTCATATTAATGATCAGATATTAATTAAATTACAAGTATTTCTTTGCAGCTCCAAATCGCAACTTTTCCTATAGAGCAGGTCAAGACTGTACTCTTACTGTACAGTTTACAGAGACCCAACTTTTACCCACATGAGCATGCACAGTGGTAAGGAAAAACTACACTTTTTATGTATTAGTGATCACTATGTTGTGAATATGTAAATGTATCATTGAGTGGCCAAACATGAACATGGAGGCGATGTGTGCTTTTATTCTATAAAGCACAATATAACAGCAACATTTATTTTCATGTTGGGTTCTCTTTTAAGCTTACATTTGTCCTTGGAAGGCTACTGAAGTGAATTGTCTCTAACCTATACAGTCTCAGAATTTTGACGAGCTGTTTATTTTTTACCATAACTTAAGGAGGTGCATGGGCTAAATCTGGCAACAATTTCCATCTCAGGATGAACGAGCCATATAGTTTAATGTTTATAAACTACCAACACAAAGAATCAATGCAAGAAAAAAAAATCACCTGATCCAAGGCTGGTACTGCAACTTGGGGCCAAGCTTTCTGTATCTTCAGGACCTATAGCATAAGAACAATAAACTCACAAAAATGAATAGGGGACATGAATGTTAAAATCAAGTTTGACAAGGAAATCATTTAAGTTGTACTTCTTAGTTAAGGGATATACAATTTACCATCTAGATCCTCTTTGATCAACTCCATCCTTGACTCCTCTTTTGGGACCTGATTCTTCTTCTTTGCCTTAGGCTGTAAAAAAAATAAGAATAAAGCTATTAAATATTGTGTAAAAGGCTGAATATGTACATTGGATAACAGTTACAGTGCACAAACATGAGTCTAAAAGGCAGCGAGCTGGCCAAATGAAAGCGACTGACCCGGGGGTTAAACCAAGTAAAAGATAACCACGAGCCTTCGCGCCAGTTGTTGGCTAGCTAGCAAGCGGGGCTAATGTTGGCTGTGGTGATTAACTACAATGTTTAATCGGCTTGCAAGATAGCTATAATTTACTTTTGAAAAGCAATGGGTCCCTATTAATTTATGGACTAACAATAATGAACATTATACGAATTATACAGCCAAGTAGTGGGTAGGTTACATGACGATATTGAGCTAACGCGGCCAACAACGTGAGTTGGTAATAATGACTTTATTAAGCACACAATTCAAAGAGGTGTGCACATGAAAGAGAGCATTTTCAACAAATACAATACAATGAATACAAAAATAAGAAAGCAAGCACGTAACTTACCATTGTCGATGCACAACATTTCCAATGTCCCTCTTCAAGCTCCAAGGCAAGTGGAAAAGGCCAAAAGCTAGCAGGCAGTTTATTTTTGCTGATTGGAAAGGGAATTAATATGATAGTGAATGATTGGATGAATTTGCCGTTTGCAACCTGTCAGGTGACTCCCGTTCCCCTCTACGTTACTGCACTGTCAAACTTAAACTACGCCACAACTTATCCTAAAACACATGTTTACACAATATCAGAGTCAAACCGCTGCAACAAAATCCATACATTTAAACGTCTTGGCCAAACGAATGAATGTAGTTGAAAAACCAGGGGTGGGGGGAGCGGGGACAGAGAGCACGCTCATGCACTGTCAACGGGTGGGGGAGGGGGGGGGGACATGCTCGTGAACTGTTAATAAGGTCCCATAGGTCCGAAGTAAATGGGCGGGACTTCGCCTCCGGAGCTTCGCTGTTAGCGGAAGTAACCGGCGGATAGACAGATGAGAACATGGATTGGTGGATCACTTTGTCAATCATTATTCTCCCAAAGGGTAAGTCCCGCCTATTTCATTTCTTCTCCCTCGCTGTGGATTGTGGAGGTATGGCGCAATATTAATAGCTGAGAATGTAATATTATTTCAGATAATTTTACAAGTATGGTGTCACATTACACGTTTTTGAGGCGAATCCATTTTAGACAGAGCCCCAAGGAAAACCTTAAGTTCAACCACTGGTTAATGAAAAAAGGCCTTCTTCGAAAATCAATGAAATGCCCCTCTTGTGCTCATGTCATGAAGTTGAAACGGCCTTATGCTAAAAAGGAGGCATTATGGTAAGTAATGCTAGAACACTTGTGCTACAGCCTGTGCTTCATTTATTAATTTTGGGCATATCATATTGTTAGCTCTGTAGCTGTAAGTTCATCTGAATGTTGGATGCAGACTTGTCACCTTTCAGAAACATTTACCATTTTGAATCTACATTATGTGACCTATGTGATTCATGCATATCTGATGGAAAATGATTATATAATTCATATTATTAAACCTAATTGTTTTTATTAGGAGGAATTATCAGCTAAATCTCACCTAGAAAGTCATAATTCAAATCACACTGCTGATAATTTATATGTGCATGTGGGCTACTTTTTAAGGTGGTAACACTACTAAATGCACTCATATCTTCTTTATTCAGTTAATTATTGTAAATTAAATTCTTCTTGTCAAGTATACCTAGAAATGTTGAATAACACAAAGGACTTGCGCCATATTCAATCCATGTCTTAGATGTATCAACACCTTACAAATCTAGACTTAATTTATCAGAATTCTATTCAACCAATTTGTTTAATCATCAGGATGTGCCGGGATTCATGTCACAAAGGGAAAACATATTCAAGATCCATCCGAAGTGGCTCCATGTTTGAGAATTCCCATGTGCGACTGCAAACATGGATGCATTTCATCTACAGGTGAGTGGTTCTAAATCATTCATGAAATGTGTATATATGGAAATGTACTGTACACCCATGACCACTTCAAAATTGGTTTTAACCTCCCCTCCTAACTAACTGGATTGTTTACAGATTTGCCCAAGGCCTTCGATTGCGACAAGTGGACATGCTGCAGGAAGGAATTACTCGTAGCTCTGCAACTCTGACTAAGCTCGCAGACAAGCTGCGGAGAGTTTGTAAATCTGCCATGAGAAGAGTGAGAAGAAGAGGCCAGCAGACCATTGGAAGACGAAGTGAAGTTGTTATGATCGATGAAAGCAAATGTGGCCATAAAAGAAAGGTGTGTAAACTATGCAAACACTTTAAGATTGTTACCTTGATATCCAAACAATACATAATTAAAACAAGTTTATTTCCTATGATCTTGCATAAGCCTGTCCTTAACAGAGCTACTTAATGTAGAGACACTATACATACTTTTAATACACAGAAAGTTAACATTTATTTTCACCATTTCTGCTGTACAACACTGTCTATCATAGACTATTATTGCTAATTATACATAAAGTAGTAGAGTGTATTGTAAATTGTAAAGCATTTTAACAACTGTTCTCAACATGCTCGAACAGTTCACTGCTGTGTGATTAATAATTGAAAACAAATGCATACAGTATTCCATGTAGAAATATACAATGGTAAGGCTCTAAGGAAAATATTTTAAAACATTCTTCATTTAAAGAAACTGCAGACAGAGCCATTTTAATGTAGTCATTCCAAGTGTATGTAAACCTCTTTTACCCATCCCACTGTTTGTGGCTCAGGTGGTTGTGCATTATTCTCCACAGCTCTATGTGGCCATAGGTTGCATTAATATACCATTTTTTCTCCCATGGAACAAAGAGAAGGATCATTTTTGTGTGTCAAAACTAAATACTGTAGTGGCCTTTTGTAAAATTGTGTCAGTATCCTTATCTATGAGAAATGACTGTTGCGTTTTGGAATAAGATATGCAGTTCAATTATGCCATAAAGGGAAATGTCACGTTATTCCTGCACCTCAGGACAGTTGAATATTTGTAAATATGCACTGCTCCATAATACTCTTGTCATTTTCAGTACAACAGAGGACGGGCGAGCAACAGGAGTTCCTGGGTGTTCAGAATGCTTGGAATCAGAAATGACAGGAGAAGACCCATTCTCAAGATCGTGCGTCGCCGCTCAGCCAGACATCTTATGCCTCTCATAAAGAAGCACATTAAGACCGGAAGCTCAGTCATTTCAGATGGATGGAGGTCTTACAGCCGGCTTCAGGACGAAGGTTATAATCACCTGACTGTCAACCATCAAGAATCTTTTGTTGACCCTGTTACAGGTGCACATACACAGAACGTAGAGAGATTTTGGGGTATTTGCAAGACAACTATCTGGAGACTTAGAGGAAATCGGACACAAAGTTCGTTAAAAGATCATTTGGATGTCATTGAGTGGACTTACTGGCGTGGAAAACATCACAGATATGGACCACTTGGAATGCTTTTGCATGACATTAGAAAAAAATATAAAGTGTGAAGCCTGTGAAAGGTAGCATATGTTGCAGATAGCACATTTACACTGTCAGTGAAAAGCGATTGAACGATTAAAGACACTTTAAATGTTTGTGATGTGTCTGAACCTCTTTTAAGTGGTTACATTTGAATAAAACAGATATTTCAACGTGAGCCTACTTTGTTCATGTGCTGTTGAGATTAATTTCAGTAGTTGTGTGCTATAATGTATTTACAAAGTGTGAAGAGGAGGCAACTTTAGAATAGGGAACCTGTTCTGGTCAATTAGAGTCAAACTACTAGCTTATTGGTTATGAACAAGACTTCACTTTAGAATAGGGAACATGTTCTTAGATATAAATACCTAATTTTGAGTTATTTAGACACAATTAACACTTGTAGTTTCATGTCTTGTTACATGAGAATAGATCATATTTGTTAAGTGTTATTAAGGGAGAATTACTATTCTTGTGCCACTACTGCCTTATTAGGCCCATATTGAACAGAGCATATTAAGACCCAAACTCATGTACAACAACTTCCTTACTTGTAATGAATAAGCACTAATTAGAGGGTTATTGAGGAAAAACTCTCAACTAATGGCTTATTACCTGTAGAATATGGTCATGTAGAATAAGGCATTAATAAGTGTTTTATAATGACTAATAAAGAGCCAATATACTGCTAATATGCATGTTAATTAGCAACTAGTTGATGGTTAATTTGTGTACCTTAATATAAAGTGTTACCAAAATGAATTAATCATGATTAATCACCATTCGAACTATGTCCAAAATATGCAATTTCTTTATGTATATTGTTGTGGGAATGGAAAGATAAATGAAAGAAGGCGGATATATCCATTTAACATGTTTATTGTAACATCTTTCTGTGTGTTGTAGAGTTATATTTGTATTTATTCATGTTAGTAAACTATGGATAAGCTTAAAATGGGAATAATTTGGGTAAAACTGTGAGCTGGATATGGGGCCTGTTGACATGTGTGTTTGAGGACAAAGGAAGATGGGGGAAGGTGAGAGCATGTCCTGATTTGCATTCAACTTAGAACGAGCTACAGTGGTTGTGATATTAAGAGAGGTCCCTTGGGTTTCTCTGGTGGTTATCAATAGTAGCAGTTAAGTGAATACTGTTCAAACAATACCTGTGTTTGCGTTTTATATTGATTTCTCTGTTTTATCCTTTCATAAATGTAAGGACTACAAATGGCTATAAACATTCTGGGCTGGTTGGAGTAAACAGGGTTTTATTGCTCTGTGGGGGAGGTGTAGGTATGCAGGCCTTGAGACCTTTTGTTGTAAAGTGAGCCTGTTTGGTTTCCTGCTGGCCAGCGTTGCGTCTCCCAATCAGATGACCTGAAAAGATGACCAGCTGACCTAACACCAAACCCCTCCTTCTTACTCTGGTATATATCCGGTGGATCCCTGGCGTTCGGTCTCTCTTCACATGCTGCCTCGAGCGAAAGGATGTCCGCAGCACGCGAA